TATATATATATATATATATATATATATATGCACACACATAAAGAGAAAGTAAGAATTCGTTTACACAATATAAATTTAAATACTCCCAAATCTAATACATTTAATAACTTTTTCTGGCAACATGAACACTGAATAACACACCTCAAAACAGACGGTTGTTCTTAGGGGGGACAATATCTCAAGATCTACCAATATGTTAATTGTTAGATTGTATCTGAAATCCTATCAAGTTATTCGAGAAAAAAAAATGTAGGAAAAATAAAATTGGTTAAGGAGATTTGTTAGATGTCGTCTACTCGGAGACTTTGGAATCCAATTGAATGCCTAAATAATAACCATTGGGAGCAGATTCTGTTGACCACTTATTTGATTCCTTGAGCTGTTCTGCGGTGTTAGGAGGATTCAAGGAAATTTGTTACAGCAACCGCAACAGCGTTGTATAAACCATTCCAACCTGTTCTTATTCAGTGAGAAAAAAAAAAAAAAAAAAGAGAAGAGGTTAGTGTTATCTTCAGCCGAAGATCCATTAAGAAAGGTGGGAAAACACCTAACTATTTGCATTTGACTGGTGGGTGAGAAATAGTTACCTGTTTGAATGAAAGGAATCTAACCTACCAGTCCAAAAGAGATTATTCGTTATGTTATGTGCATTACTTGCACTATTATAGGACAAACCGAAGCACATTATCCTAAACTACAAAATTACTCATACTATCGGTACAACATAATAATTTAACATTCAATCAAAAGTTCAACTTAATATGCAAAATAAAATTTTGAGGTGCAATTGTTACTAATAATAATATGTGTGAATGAATATAAAAGAGAAAAGGACTTACAAGTCCATGAGGCATGTAGTCTTGGATTGGAATTGTTGAGGATATTGGAGATCCAATGAAAATACCGATGGAACATCAGGACTGTCTAATGTCTTGAGCAGAAGGGGAAGATTGTCCTCAGACGGGTGTGAGGAAGAAGCATGGGAGAAAGGTGGTGAAGGAGTTGAAGATACTGAGAAGGAGTATGTCCGATTGCCTGGTCCAAAACTAATGGGGAGTGGAGAGGGAGGTGTAGGAGGTGATGATGATGTTGGAGAATCACACCCAAAATTCATATTAATCACTAAACTCTCTTTCACTTACATTCTTCTTTGCTTCGCTTGAAAATTTCTCTATCAAAGTAATATTTTCTTGGTAACAACTATCAAATTTGTAATCTAATAAGTGCATGATATGAGTTTTAGGTATAACCTAACGGTCATCATATGCCAAATTGCCAAGGCAAGTACCAACCATCAGCTAGCTAGCTACTCATTCCTTTCTTGCCTGAAACTTGCTTTGGATTGACTTTCAGCTTTGCCCCAGTTTATTGGCCTTTCCAACATGGAGATAAATTGTATTGATACTAATTTTTATTTTATTTTTTTATAAAAAGTTATAAAACAAACAGAGATAGGGGAAAAAAATTCATGCACTATTTTATGTTATAGAAAATATCGCGTGAAATTGTTGAATGAATAACGATATTCTGTTTAAATACCATTTCAATTAGTTGCAGCAAATTGAAGTTGTCTATATTTATCATTTCAATATTATAGCCGTTGAATTAAATAAGTTTCAAATTTTATAAATATTTATAAACATGATTTATTTATTAAAATTTTTTAATTTAACAGTTGAATCATTAAAAGTTAATATAAATTGAGTTACTTAATAAAATAATTCTATCCAAACTTCATCTATTTTATCATATAGATTTAAATAGATGTATAATGTAATAAAATATTAAATAATTTTTATTTTTTTAAATTTGTATATTTGATTTATTCATTAAATTCTTTTAATAAATAGATCATTATACAAATTTTTAAAAATTTGAAATATATATA